ATGTTTCGATTTGCATATAAAATTAATTTGGTATGATTTGCATAAAAATTTAGAAATGTTAGCGAATAGAAGGTGAAGTCGGTGGGTTATGCAGTTTAAGCTGCCAATAAATATTTATAGAAAAACGAATGCAGAAAAACAGCAGTAACTAGCGAAGATACGGTTGTCTATAAAAATACAAATGCACATATGTACATATATACAAACGAACATGTATACATGTATATACATAAATATTAATATGCACATATTTAAGCGAACACTGCAGACAACTTCAGAGATGAGTTATAACTTTGTTTTGCTTATACATACACACTACATATACATGTACATATGAGTATGTGTTTGTGTACGCTAAAGCGTTTAAAAGCAGACCTCAAGTCAGAAACCTTAAGTGGAAATTAGATAATGCGCTGGTCACTGGAATTTATATGCATTTAGAAGTATAAGTGGTTATATATGTGTGTATATATATATAAGAGTATATAAATTAATATAATTTTATGATGTGCTGTTATGATCCAATATCTCTGTACAATAGTAGCCAATTAAAACTAGCAAACGTGAAATTAAAAGCGAGATATGAAACACAGCACCAGCACTATGTTGCGCTAGAATTGGCTGACATAAGTATATGTTTATCTATGCAATACCTGTATCAGTTATCATAATAAATAGTAGTTTGCGACATAAACACGACGAATGAGGAAGCAATTTCGCTGGGCATTAACTGCCAGTCGTATTCTACTTAGATCAGTGTTAAATATTTAATTGAAGTGAATCGAATTAATGTCACAGATATAATTATTATAATGAATTGAATACTCAGTTCAAATCCGCTGTAATAAAAAAAAGATCAAATCGAGGTAGAATGGGGAATAAGCTCCGTATTGAGTAATAAGGCTGGTCACTCTTGAGCTTTCTTTTAACAAAAAGCATAAGATAAGTTTAAAATCAGCACTCAACTGCTGTTGAGCTTTTGCGAGAACTATAATATTTCAAATAATAATTGTACACGAAGCCAGTTATTTTGCTGAGCTATCTTTCCTATTTTTTTAATGTTTTCAGCTAACAAAGGTTCACTCGAATTAAACGGCAGCAATAGCAGGTTTAAGAGATTTCGCGAAAGTTTTTGCGCCGTTTTTCCGTCTGTCCATCGATCAGAAATTTTGCACACCTTCTTTTCTCTCCAAGAAGCTACTCATTTGTCGAAACCGTCGATATTGAGCAACTGGTCGATCAACATGCAGTGCTTGTATGGATAACTTTTTTAGTTGAAGAGATATATCCACGAAGTTTAGTATGGATTATTATCCAAAGCAACTGTATAATATCCAATAAAATTGTTAAGATCGGACTACTGTAGCATGTAGCTGTCATACAAACTAACCTATCAAAATCAAGACAAAGATTATTTTATATTCTTTTATGGTATAAGAAATGTACCTATGAAGGCTATTATAGCTTCGGTGCAGCCGAAGTTAATCTTTTATTCTTGTTATTTTTAGAAAAAAGATGAATATACATGAATAGATTAGTACACAAAAATTAAAATACATATGTACTTTTCAAATCAAATATTTTCGATTTCTGTTTTGTTTTGACTAACGATTTTTTTTTTTTTTTTTTGCAAAGAATAAATATTCCAGCATTAATTTTTATACTTTTTCCTACATAACTTAATTATTTGTACCTTTATACTAATTTATCCATACCTTCGAAACAGAGAATCTCTGAGCTCAGAACTTAAAGCTCACTCAGAATATTCACAAATCAAATGTTTTCAATGAAAGTACATGTGCAAATTTTCTGGCAATTTAATGATGCTAATGGCCAATTAGTTTATTTAAAAGTATAACAATATCAACACGGCTCACCAATCTGCACTCTGAACTAAACTATAAACTCACGTCAAGAAACTTAGTCGGTGTAAAAGTAAAGTTATAACCATAATTACCTACTAGCAGTTGACCTCCTTGCTGAGACTAAAGCAATTAAATGGTTGTTAGCACATGTTTTTGTTGTTTGTTGTTCTTCTGTGCAAGATACTCATGATTTTAATGGCTTGGCGGTGGGAATTGAAGAATGAAAAAGACCATTCACTCTGCGGGTTTATGGCGTGCGGAGTAAAAGCTGCGGCCACTAATGTGAGAGTAAGAATTTAATCTAATAGAGATGGTAAAAAATGATTTGAAGATATTCTTAATTTCAGCTGGTGTACGATTTTCGAAAGTCAATGCATGCAAGATTATAAGATGGCGTGCTGATATTATAAGGCGGCAATGCTAGATACTGTAAAGCACAATTTCATCATATTTTTACTGATCATTTCTGCTACAGAACTTGAGAAAATTAAGTATTAAAAACCTGATGGATGCTTCAAACTTAAAAACAGTTATAATATTAACCAATTTATTGGAAAAATATGTTTTATGGTATACCAGTATTACACGCAATTTGATTGTGACAAGAATTTCCTGCCAATTCAGCCTTCAACACCATGGCAAAGAAGAGAAGAGCAATGCGCTTATGCGGCTCTTAATTAACACCAACACACCAACTGCTTCAACAACAATTAAAGTCAATCACTTTTTACCACAAATTTCCTATTCAAGCTTAATTTGTAAACATGAAGAATCAATCAAGCTAGAAGGTTGCGGTCAGTCTCTTGTAATTGGTCAAAGAATATTAATCAGCTCATCATTGTATGTTTTAAAGATCAAGATTATTAACAGATTCGTCTGAACTAGCTAGCCATATTGCTTGCAAGTTTATTGCCACAAGTACACATACAGATATATACACATAAACATATGTATATACTATACATGTGAATAGCTTCATTATTAATTTTAACCTTTTTTCTGTTATTCTCCTACTTAGATCATCGCAAATATAGTTGCCTCTACATGCATGCGAAATTACTAACCGTATATCCACTTAAGTATTATTGTACGAGAGTGCATCCTTTCAATGATGCGTGTTCCAATTTCAAAGCACTTAAGCCATGAAAGCGTTTGTAATGGAGGAAGCGTACGTTTGAGAATTTTTTTCTCGCCTAAGGTTCATTAGAATATATATTATTTTTCACCTAACTTTTCTTTGACTTTTTAGGTTGATTATGTTCTTATTTGAGACCTATTATCAAGACGAAGTTTCGCCTCAATATATTAAGTTTATAAACTGGAAACTTCTACTTCCATTATAAAAATAATATTCATGGAACTGATTTTATTTTGACGGATCTGAGCATTACTAAGCATTTAGCTATATACCTATATATGCATATATATATTTCAGTTTCTTTGAATAATTTGTTTAGGTAAGAAGAGCTTTATGTATTTGTATGCCAGCGATATTCCCTGAAAATTCTCATAATTGTATGTACACTTTATCAACATTGTAACAAATTTGCTATGAAAAACTAGAGACACTTGAGTAGTACCAAAAATACCAATGATTTTCTTTGGGCTCAAAAAGCAATAAACAATCAATAGATTTACTCAAAATTTGTAGAAATTGCTATGAGAGTAATACAAATTAAAAGAATAGTTACCGTTATCAAAATAATTCGATGGAATTGGAGATCTACATTTTGTTATTTCTTTATACGTAACGATCTCAATGCCTAATCTTTATACTATGCACATATATAAGCGCTGATGCTTTTATTTACCATTCCTAAAGATTCGCACTCCTCGCTCAGGCAACGAATGTAGTGCAGTCACAATTAGTAGAATAGTCCAATCATCAATAAGTGGATGAGTGAGAGGAAAAAGCTCGAAGTTTTTTTTCATATCAAAAAGGCTGTATCGCACTTTCAGATATAATTGAAAAAGTCTCTCATTTTCTAAAAAGATTTGGTTAGCGACTTACAGTCGTTTGGTCATGGATTCGTGATTCAACAACTCAAAAGCCTACACTTTGACTTTTATTATAAGCCCAGAATATATGTAAAGCTGTCTATATGATTTTCGACTAAAATTTTCGGGCCCTAACACAGGGATCAATTGTATAGAAAAAATATTTATTTATTTTTTCAAAATAACAAAGTATCTTCTTATGCTAAAAGTCTACGATAGAATTTAATTTTATGGTTAAGAAAGGTATCTTGAACAATTCTACATAAATTAAATTAAAAATCTTAATTAAAGAAGTTGCTAAAAAAGCGGTTAATAAAGCTGTTTACAAGCTCCATTGCATATAAATTAATTTTCTAGAAAATCCAACGATTAGTCTCAAAATACAACAGAGATGGAAATTGATTAGCAGCAGCAACTAGTCAAACTGAAAAGTTTCCCTTAAAACATGTTATTTGGGATTAAAATTGTTTGACATTTAAAATATTATACATTAGATAGAAAGTTGGTTACGCAATATTTATATGTTTTGAAATTATATTCTACATTATTATTATTTATTTATTAGTTTTAAGCAAAAAATCTCGTATATGCTTAAAATAAACTTGGACTCCAGTATATATTGCGATGTTTGTTCTGACTGGTTATTAACATAATCAAGAAAAAATTTCGTAGAATAATTGATTTCATATAGTTTTTAATTAAAACTTAAGCGAAAAGATATTTGGAGTAGTCAAATTTAGTGAATGCACTAATAAAAAAAAAATCATGACACACTTTGAACTATTCTCTAATATTGCTTGATGACAAAATTTCAAAATTTCCGCTATTACACTAAAATATATAACGCTGATTCTTAAGTGCATATTTGCAATATTCCTGCTTTGAAACACATATTTGGATACAAACACTAATTATTGGTTAATCATTTTAACTCAGTGCAATCATAAATCACTTTAAATATACTAACTATAAAAATGTTCACTCTATGCTTACATGTGGAGACCCCTTTGGTATTTGGTACGGAGAAAAAGCAATTTCTTCATTCTATCAAATTGCAACAAACATTTTTCTAAGAACCATATTTCTAATAACCACAAAATACACATGTTATTATTCTAATTTACGTGAAGAGCTTACCAACAACATTCATGTTGTGCACCACATTAGTGCTCTCCTCATGCGCACCCACTTCTGTTGCCGCAACTGCTGACGTCATCGTCGCTGCGGCCTCCGTCGTTGTTAACAATTGTGCCTCATCTCGTAATACTGCTGACGTTGTAGTTGTTGCTGTTGCAACAGCAGGAGTAGTTGATGAGGCAGCAGTCGTTGAACTCACGTCAATCAACACAGCGTCAGTGGACTGCTCCACGGCATCTGTAGACGTCTTCATGTCAGTTTCGTCTCCATGTAAAGACGTTGCATTCACGCCAGACTTCAACTCCGCTGCAGCAATTACCGGCAGTGTTGTGATGGCCTCATCGCGCATTGCTGTTACAATTGCAGTTTCATTACTAGGCACAGTTGTGGCAGCTACATTTGCATCGTTACTCGGCAATTCCTGTGCATTGGCCGCTGGTGCAGCGACCAAGAGTAATGCACAAAATGCGCTGATGAGCAATAGACGCAAATGTTGTGTTCTTGTTGTTGCTGTTGCTGGCATCTTGTTGGCACTTTTTCTTCGTTTACCGTAAAGCGCATACATTGCGGATTTTTGCGGAATTTTTAGTATGCGCTGGGATTAGATTTCGTATGTGTGTTTGTGTGTGTGTGTGTGTTAAATGCAATCTATTTTGTTGTTGTTTTCTCTTTATGCTTAGGCTCTATGTAATGCTAATTTAATTCGTTTGAATGAATATTTTTTTTTGTTTTTTTTTTTACTTGTTACGTTCGCTTTAATTTTGTTTCAATTGCACTTCCCTGTTTCGTCAGCAATGTATTTGTACGCTTTTATAGCGATTTGTTGTTGTTACTTTTTGCACATCAACAATGTGGCAGTGTGCTATTGACGATTTTACGATTTTTCGGCGCTTATTTAATCACAAATTGACGATTTGCCGATTTGCTGGGAGCGTTGATTTTATCACTTCGCGTTTTATATTGCTCACCAAAGATGAACGGTATTTTATTTGATTTTTTCAGCGCACCCAATTAAGGTTACTGTAATTCAATCGTTTTGACACAATTCTTATAGAAGGGAAATCAGGTTTTGAATTTCACAACCACATTTTTGTCAATCAAATTAACTGTAAATATATTTTTTAAATATTTTAAAATTTTTGAAATATTTAAAAATGTATACTTTTTATTTAACTTTTCTATATATTAAGTCATTTCACCACCATTTATTTATTTATTTTCAATCTCTAGTAAAAATTAGCAAACAATTATTAAGTATCGAGTTGCTCGCTTCAGTCTTTTGTTTTGCCATTAGTGATTTTACGGCACTCCAATTATCCTTTCAGGCTTTAGCACTTCATTTACTTAATTAAGACTATACGCAAACAAACTGTTAGTCAGATTTTTAATAGCTTCTGTGCTACATTACGTTTCTCAGATAATCGCACAACTATGCCAAACGGTGTTATATGGCATAACAAAATTAGGTTGATACGCTATTAGTGTACTCACAATAAACTGATAAAACTAAAAATAAGTGGCACATATAATTGTATTGAGAATGGATAAAGCTGTGATTATCTTGAAAAAGAATATAAAAGAGGAAAAAAAATTCGATTTTGGCTAACAACGTTTTGTAGTGTCTATTACCAAAATATATTAGCACAACCTTTAACACAAACTTTAATATGAAAAATCCAGCTTTAACTCAAATCCGTTCTTTGGTGGCGCCTAAAAAAAAGTAAATTAGAAATAGTTTTTGCATTTTGAATGCATTTGCTAGTGATTGAGCAACTTGGTGAACATTTTTGTTTGATTCTGCGCTTTAGAGTTGCCATTTAATTTAATATTAATATTTGACAAACCTCAACTATTTTTTCTTGAAAGAAAATACTTTAATAACACTTTTGTATAAAATGCTTGAGATGGAATTAAAAATCAGTGCACGTAATTTTTTTGCGAAAAATTGTGGTGTTTGAAGGAAAATTAATTTTTTTTTATATCATACTAAAGAAATGAAGTATTCAAATGTTGAAAACAAATGTAGTTTTATACTTAATTTACACTTATTACAAATGAAAACTGCTTTGTGAATAATGTGGGATCTTAATCTAAGTTCCTTAAATAGGTTTTTTAGTAAAAAGTAATAATATTTTAGAAAACTATGAAAAAGGGGGTCATATAAGCCAAAAAAATATTCAAAAAGTTGGTCCAATAACTGTATTTTTAGCAAATTTTCGATGATAAAAAAGATACCAAATTTTTTGAGCGGTTTTGTGGAGGGAAAGCATATAAAAGGTTTACTTATTCACAACGTATATCTTTATCGCTCACCTATATGTTTTTCGCATATTAACATATGTTTTCATATATTATCATATATTTTTATATATTAAAATTATTACCAAAGTTTTAAATATAGATTGAGGTTATATTGAAAGTAGTTGTTCTAATTAGCGCATATTTTTGCATTATAACGGTATAAACTTGAGACATCCTTAATGAAACAGGAAGTGCTTATTCTACGTATACAATTTTGCTGAAGGCAGATACAACAAGTTGGCTGTACTGTAAGCTTTAAAATTTTGCCAATTAATAATATGCAAAATATACTAGTTCCTAAAAGCTTTTATAGTTTATCTAAGTAAAAGTAGCTTTTATATTCAACCATATTTGCTTCTAGCTTAAATATAACAAGACATCATAACCTTTTGCCATAGAAAATTACACCCGTATAAATAACTGCTCGGAGTCAAGTTTTGTGATATAAAAATATTACACTGTGTTAAAAAACTATGACAAACAAGCGCATTGTTTTTGCACAAGAAAACATCAAACAAAGAAAGTGCAAAAGTTACTAGGTTAAATAAACATTTGTGTTCAAGAGGCTGCAAACTAAAAATACATAGAGTATGCAAACTTTTAAAATATGTCAGCATAATCTCAGAGCCGTAAATATGGCATTTCTATATGTCTGATGCAAAAGCAATGCTTATGTATGAGTAAAATCTATTTTAAATTTTAGGAACATATATTTACCATATATATGTATATGGGAAGAGAGAGTATATTGCGGTAAATAGTATAACTTTATAGTTTTGAAAATAGTGTTATCTTAATAGTAACGTAAATTCATGCTCTGTTTTATTTCTTAATATTCCTCAACTTGTCAAACTTTTAGTTCGACTTTAAAAAGAGGCAACCCTAATTTCCAAATTTTAATCACTAAAATATTTTTTCAAATATAAAACTAAAATTATATTCTGCTTCTTGATATTATCTTCTAGTTTGACTTTGTTAGATGGCAACCCTAAATTCCAGGTTCGCATAAATGTAAATTTATATTTGTTTGATATTATTAAATTTGTTAATCTTCTAGTTTGATTTTGGTAGGTGGCAACACTAATTTTCAGGTTCAAATTGCTTAATAATTTTTCAAATATAATTTGTGCTTTATTTTATTTTTTAATAATATTAAAAACTGTTAATCTCTTGGTTTAATTTTAGAAGGTGGCTATACTAACTTCCAGGTTCGAATCGCCTAAATACTTTTTCAAATATAAATAAAAGTTTATGTTCTGCTTTATTTCTTGATGTTATTAAACTTGTTAATATTCTAGTTTGACTTTGATAGATGGCAACCCAAAAATTCCAGGTTCGAATCAAATTTTCATAAATAAAAATTTCACGTTTATATATAAGCTTTGCCAAATGCCTTTTATTTGCTACCTACATATATATTTGACATTAACTTTTATATATAAAAATATGGCAACACTGTACGTAAAATTGCTTCTTTGGTTTAGATATTGTATATTCCCAAAATTCTAATAGTAGATAGTAGCAGACGAATAGTAAAAAAATCTTAAAACTGTAATATAAAAATCGAAAGACTTTCGAAAACTATGTTCATCCGCATTTTTATTGTAAAAAAAAATCTTATAAAAAATCAGATAAGTTTATTATATTTTTTTATTCTTTGTAACAAACTCCAAACATCTCAAAAATATGTTTTTTAAATTTTTGTTCCGAAATTTTAACCCTTTGTAACCCTTAATCAACAACTGTAGACTGCAGGCAGACTAACGGCATTTTAATAAAATACATATGCTCATATTTGCATTTTACTCGCTTAACATATGCAAAATATTTTACATATATTATAACTTTAACAGATAAGGGCGGCACTTTCTCGATATGTAACCACAAAATTGAAAATAAATATGGACACGTGTTCGTTTTGTTTTGCTATCAAATTACTTGACACGCTCTGACTTATGACGTCACTTTTATTTTTATGATTTTTTTTTACCACAAAAAACATTTATTTGCACAATCTTTTATTTCAATAAATTTTATCGGCCGGAATGCATAATTTTTGGCAAGTTTTCATTTTATACGTTAATTTAACCAATTTTTTCTCAGAGCAGCTTTTATTCTAATTTCCTGTTTGATCTGCACTTAAGTCAAGTTTGAAGTTTGTTTCTTTAGCTATTGTCTGTGCAGTTGTTGTTATTGGTGCATACCCACCATGTAAATGAGTTGGCAGCGTTAACCTGTAGCCTGACACATGCAGAACACAGCTCCACAGAGCAGAGCAGACTTGCAGACAGGCGCGTTCAAGAACTTGTTTGGGCACAACTCGTTTAAGGCTATGAAAGTTCGTCAGTATTGGTTGCGGTTGATTAGTTTGCTTGCTGTTTTTGGTTTAGGTTTTCGGTTTTCTAGACATACTTATATAGCAGGTATTGTTATTGCTTTTGTGGGCATAAGATGGAATTATGGTATTTTGTGTGTATTTCAAATTCAAATCATCGGAATAATTTTGCAAATGAAGGTAATAAGAAAAACTCAACAAAAAAATTGTTTTTTAGAGACACGAAACAATATGCAACACAGTTATAATTATTTTCATTTTATAAAAATTATTAAATATATAATATTAGCTTATTTTCAACACAAAATTGGCATTTATGTAATATTTTAGAACAAAAATGTTTAAAATTAAGTTTAAAAGTATTTTTTCGAACACTTAATTTTTTTTTTTTTTGGAAAATATGTATGAAAGTTCACCATATGCACTTGATTATATTTCCGGACTATTTTTTGTTATTATTTTAATTTTTAATATGTTTTCTAAATCAATTTGAGTATGTTCGCAACTCATTTTACACAATCTCTAAGCAAAAATAGAAAAGTTGCAAGCACTCAATCCAACACCGGCACTCAGTTGAAATATATACACCAATGCAGTTTGAACAATTACCCGTCACACTATCCGTTGCACTGGGCGTTTTCACCCGTCCCAGCCAAAACACGAACTCTAACTGATATTGCGGCAGCTTAGGCCAAGACGTTAAGCCCCGTACATTGGTAAAACCAGTTAGTCAGCCAAGTGTATATAAAACTAAAAACACACAATAGTAAAATCGAGCAGCTTAAAGAGCTGACCGGGCAGCCTTCAACAGATGAGTTGAGATGCATAAAGTTATACGCATACATACTAACATACGCATACACACACACACACAAATAAATTCATTTCAACGTTGTTTTGTTATTACTTACGCGATTGTCGCATTCAATATTGGTATTTGGCTTATTGCCTGTGGTTGGAATCGGGGTGTGGTGAGTTTCACACCCAGCACTTGTAGGAGTAAATAACAAATAACTAAGATTTTTACGCTCATGCAAATAAAAAACAAAGTAAAATTAAAAAAGAAATTATTTGTTTTTGCATTTGTTTGTCATTGCTTTTCAGTCACATACAACACACACCATTTACACCACACAAACATTGTGGCTTTATATTCGATGCTCAATGATTGTTGCTAAGCTGCAGTGATATTATTTATATTATTTTATTTGCAACACAGGCATACATATTTACATACATATGTGAAATACAATGCAAAAAAGTAGCAGTAAAAAAATAACAAAATACTATGCACCCATTAAAATGACTAACTAACGATCAGTTGAGCGGCTTACTCACACATTGGCGCTCACAGCGCTCTCACATGCTCTCAATCCACTAAGTGGTAAATAACTTTACGTGTTGTTGAGTTTAAGCGCTACTCAACATTATTCACCAACAGCAGCTGAGCAAATATTTCGTTGATAGTTACTTGTATGTGCTACTTGCCTTAATTCATATAAGTTTAACGAAAGAGCGGGGATCACTGCTCTACATACTCGGACAGTTCAGCACGCTTTAACGGCGAGCGCGACTAACAACAATCACTTGCATTCTCTTTCGCATATATGTATACCACAAATGAAATGTATGCAATGTACCTATATGTAGAAGCGGTGAACGTTCACGCATCGCTCGTGATTAGAGTGGGGGGCAGTCGACATAACAATAAAAAAATTAACAATAACAACAATATAAAATAGTGTAGTTGGAGTAAAAGCAAATACTGCTGCTGCTCGCGTTGTTGCCAAATGAAGCGTACATCTCCACGTTTCGTCTGGCGGTACAACTACACACATATATATATATATATATATATATATTTATATAATATATATACATATATGTATGAGAAATCGGTGCATTATCGCATATATGAAATAACCGCAATCGATTTGGCTTCAATGACAACCAATTTGCGCGTGAAAATATTGCGAAATCCGCGTTGTTTTACCGTTGCGTTTGTTGAATGAACGAAACATGCGTCGAGTTTCGTGCTTAAATCTTTCGTTTGGCTCTAGTGTGTGTAGCTTATTAATTGTTTTTCGGTATTTAAATAATTTTTTGCTATTGTTTTGCAAGTTAACGGCACGGCACAGATAATTAATTGGAGTTTTTATTGGTGCGTAATATAATAGCAATTAATTACTTCACAAGTGAGCAAATATTTTAATGATACACATATGTTGTTATTTCTGGTTTTCGGAAAAATCATATAAGCAATTGAATGGTATGGAAGATTCCGATAACTTTTCAAATGACTTAAAAAATATGCTCATATAGTTATTATTAATATCATTAAAAAAATCTATCTTTTATTATTTCCCATTTTGGTGTATTTCTTGTAAATCAGCTCAGCAGTTTCCGAAATATTTATCATAGCTGGATGTTGAATTTAGAATACCTAAAATGCATGAAAAAGCATGGAAGTATAGTAATAGAGGTTCGTCAGAAGTTGTAGGAGAGTAAATTGGTTTGAAATTTGATGTCGTGGTTACAGAACCTATAGTTTTAGAAATACATCAAATTATGAAAACAAGTTGCTACTGACCAGCGCATAATACAAAGGCTAATTTTGACTACTTTAGTAGTAGCATTGTATCCAAACAGAGTTTCTATCGAATTTCCTATGTGATATTCGAAAGGTGCGGGAAATTCCTGACTTTTTATAACTTGAAGAAGATGCATTAAGTTTTCCACGACGTTTTAAACATTCAGAAAGAAAGGTCGGCGACCCTACAAAATATATATATAAATAATCAGCGTTACGAGCTGAGTTGTTTTAGTCATGTTCGTTTATCTGTGATTACATACGCGAACAATTTTTGAAACGAGATACTTTTTCAAGTAGTTCGAAGCGACTTTTGAATTTTATCTGATGATAAGAAACAAATAGAAAACTGTATGGCGCATAACCTTTCCGAAACAATTAAGAGCTCATACTTGTAGAGACTTTCTTAGACCTTCTTGTCTAAGAACCTATTTTTCAGAGTAACAAGCGAAAAAAATAATCGCTTTCTTGCTCCACTTTAAGATATACCATATATATTTGTACATACGTACAGATATTACGATTTTTCTTATATATATACATAAACATATACATATAAATCTACATATAGTAGGTTCCCTTCTACTCATATGCTCGTACATAATAATCAGTGAAGTGTTTCAAAATAATCTCAAAATATGCACAAAAAAACTGCATCGTCGCCACCAACATCGGCGCTCAAAAGCTTCACAATACAAAGAAGAAGAACTCTGCTTACAATTGTAGCGCTGCGACATGCAACTGGTAGAGCTGTGAAGATGCATTGTAGCGGCACCAACCGTGGCGAATGACTACAACGCTGCCTATTACCATTTTGCATAATTTTTAGCATTTTTCTATGCTTCGCTTCCAACCTCGGTGCCTTATGCGAACTCTTTCGCGCCCCAGCCAACAAAAATCGTTCTGTTCTACTCACTTTCCGTAAGCAGTCACATGTACCAGTGTTTAGGTTGTGTGCTGGCACGGAAGTATGTGTACTAAAGGCGGGTTTATGAACTGGCAGTTAGGTAAATACTTGCTAATAATGTGTAATTTGCATAGAATTTAAAATTTTTGCTCTATTCTTAACACATTTCAGATTTCTCTGTTATGCTTGATGGAACTAAAAAGATTGTCTATATCAGTTGCATTTAAATCATTTGTCAATTAAGTTATTTTCTGTTTATGTATAGGTGAAATTTTCTTTTAATGGTCTTTCAACAGCATAGGGTGTTCGGTTCAGTGTAATAATAAAAAAAAAATTTCACTTACTTAAATTGATTGAAGAGATTTGGTTAGGTATTATCTCGAGTAATGTTAATTTCTATAACACCTTAGCTTTCAACAGATTTGATTGCGTCAGCGATGACTGTTTCTCTTTGAAATTTTCTTAGTTTAGGATACCTAAAAGTACATCAAAATGTCATTAAATAAGTTGCTTGTGTCAATCTCTATTCGTCTTCTTGCTCTTCTTCAAAACTTAAACATTTTGGTATGAATCCGATCGAAAACACCAAGAAAATATATAAAGTATTGAAAAGCTCACGAACTTCAAATAAAATTCCTGGTTTATTCTGATCACGCAGACCTGACTGTGGTATTAAAGAATATCGAAAGCGACGTTGAAATGTACATTTTTTTTTATTGTAGGCGACATAACAGTGGAATTATTTGCCTCACAGTCTTTTATTGATATTTATATATTGAAGTTTGCTATGAAGTTTATAATACTCAGATAGATACATCGGAGACCCTATAAAATATATATATAAATAATCAGCGGGACCAGCTGAGTCGATTTAGTCATGTCCGTGTGTCCTTCTGTCTGTCTAGTTCCTCAGTTTTTGAGATATCAACCTGAAATTTTGCATACGTCCTTTTCTACTCGAAATGCTGCTCATTTTTTGAAACCGCCGATATCGATCATCATAACATATAGCTGTCATATAAACTGGTCGCTCAAAATCCTGTATTAAAAACTCTTTTATTTGAGGAGGTATCCTCACGAAATTTGGCGTACATAGTTGCCTAAAGCACACTAATGGCACAATCTTCAAACAAATTCTTTAGATCATATTACTATAGCATATAGCTGTCATACAAACTGAACAATCAGAATCAAGTTCATGTATGGAAACATTTTTAATTGTGAAGGATATCATAGCTTCGGTGCAGTCGAATTTAATGTTTTATCTAGTTTTGTTAATACTTGTATATAATCGTGGAAGGTAATCATATATAATCTGGTGCAAAATAATTACCAGCTTTACATTCATTCTTACTTAAAATGTCGTTCTATTTCAATTTTATAATGTCTAATAGCCGTTCACTTTGAAATAATTTGCAATAAAATTTAATATACTTTTACTATGTTATTGTAAAAATACACAAACCTACTTTTTGTTTCAATTGTGAACTTTTTTGTGTTTGAGCAAACACCGGATCGCAATCGATACATTAAAAAAATTACAAAAAAATTACAAAAAAATTGCAAACACAATTCCTGCTTTAATAAAAGCAAAAATATGAATAGCCGAAAATTTAAATTCAGATAAGAATTCGTTTAACCGGTTAAGGTTGAATTTCTTAAACAATAAAACACAGATTTCCGGATAAGTCAGGTAAACGAGGCAATGAGAGTGACTAATATTTAAATTTTTTTTCTTTTTGGTTTCATTTGTACTTGAAAGTCATTTTGGTTCCCACACATACAACATGCTAACTGCTTTTTATTTGTTTATGCAGAATTACCTGCAACACATCTATTTATTATATTTTACAGTCACTGCTGTCTAATATTTTTTGTTTCTGTAGAAAATTTTTTTTTTACTGGCTTATTATTTGGTTAGGTGCATAACAATAGAAAATTTTAATATTGAGACTGTGTTTATTGGGTGACTTATCGTTCTGCGGGTGCTCTTAGGTTCTGAGCGCGGCTTTTACAAGTAAAAAAAAGATCATAATCACAAATTTGATGCATACAATATCCAGGTGTGTAGTATACTCGAAAAGGGTCTGCCAAAAAATTCAGTATTTTTTTATAATGCCCACAAATTGTGAGTGAAGCTCTGCCCAACCTTAAATTGCTCAAATTCATACGCAA